CCCAGTATTTTAATCCCCCTTTCCCTTTCCCTCGGGGTATTTCGCGAGGAACACGGGGCGGGCTCCAGGCGGGGGATACTCGGGGGCGGCTCCGCGGGGCCCCAGGCCGGGATCGCCGCCGGGGCAGCCCCAACCCTGGAAACCCGGGAGTGCAGCGAGGGGTGAGCTGCCTTTCACAACAATTGTTTTCTTTCATTTTCCGTTTCGCAGGTATGTGGTAGGATGCTCTTTCCCCGCAGCAGGCTTTGTGCGGGTTAGGCTAGACCTGCCAGGTCCTCTCTTTGCCCTAGGAATGCAAAAGGAGGGGGGAAAAAACCCAGACTTTCTTAGTTGAGCGTTGCTTGCCTGTATTAAACACCCCGTCCTTCACCAAGACTCTGTCCTGCCTTCGCTCCTTGTACATCATTATGTTCCTGTCAATTCTGACTTCTCAGCCGGGGACTTAAATAGTCACTTGTACCACAAGTTCCTGGCTTGCTTGGCATGGCATGTATACAGTCCTTTGCTTACAACTATTGCTTTAGGCTATGTGACCTGCTGGTGGAAAGTTAAAACAGCATTCGGGTTTTAATTTGTGTTCTGTTCTGCTTTATTTTTTATATTGCCTTCATATGGCAGTGTTTTCTAACTTTGTCATGACGATTTGACTTTGGAAAAATCAATGTCGGTATCTACAAATGTTTCTTGCAGGGCTGTGAAGTCAAGTATAGTACTAGTGCCAGCCAGGAAATTAAAAGTATACAGAGACAAGGCTAAGCTTAATATATACTGTGTCTGCTTTGAGGAATAGCCTTGATACATTATGACCCGTGAATGGAAACTATTGCTGTATGCGCTGGTGGTCTTCCTCCCCGCCCCCGACTTTCAAGCACGATGCAACTCTACTGGCGAGGATTTTGCTGCTGCCTATCTCTGGCTGTGAGAGTGCAGCTAGGAGCACAGCTATTGCTGGCACCCATTAGGGCACGTTTCCAGTGTAGTAAAATGCATGAAAGTGGCTGCATAAAAAAAAAAAGCAAATTCTGAACTAGATTTTGTAGACTGATCTTCACGTGACCTGCTCTGTAGCTCTCTGCATTTGTGAACTAAGGCATGTTTTAACACATAGCAGCTTTCATTAGGTAATTCCTTCTCCAGGCAAGTTCTGCTAAAACACATACATGTTTGTTCTTTGGGACTGCTTGAAGTGTGTAAAATTAATTGTATGTGATAACCTTCTTTGGATACATATCTTAAAGGTCTTTGAATAAGGACCCTGTTGGGTTTTTTTGTTAATAATAAGCTAAACATTGTTATGTTGTGTCATTCACTTCTAGGGGGACTGTGCAACAAGAGCCACACAGATGTTTAAGTAACAGAATGACGTACAGTAATGCAGCACTGTAAATCTCATTCCTCTCTTTATCAATCCTACAGAAAAATTGGATTACCCGAAATTGTGGATTGCTTACAGTGTCTTTCTTTTTGTCTCTGGAATTAAGTTAAGAGGACATAATTTGTCACAGTTACGATAATTTTGGCTTGTCTTTTTAGTATAAATAAAGAAGCATACTTGATTTAGTAACTTTATTTCCAATAGGAAGTTAATTTTTATGATGCGTAAAAATACTTGCAAGAAGGGCAGACTTCAAAAAACACATGGCTGCATGGTGGGATCTAAGCAGAAACAAAAAGAATCGTTTTTCCCCTCCCTTCAAGGGTCTTAGGCTGGTTTTGCTTTAATTGAATCTAGATGCTGGCATTTTTATCTGTTCATGTACTACTAATAAAGAATGCTATAGTTTGTATGCATTTTTCCATTCCTATAACAAATGTAAGAGTTTATTTGCTGTGTTAGGAAGTGTGTTGTAGTCCTATTCCTCTAGTAATTTTGTTTTTGTTAATTTTTTTTTTTAAATTACCTAAAGTGTGCTGAGTATAGGGCGTTTTTTTAGGCTTGGACATTGAAGTTTGAGCACTTCAGAAAATTGGAGGAGGAAACTTGCGGTATACTGCCTTACAATGTTTGTTTTGTGGCTTCATTAGTTGCAATAGCAATACCAGTGTGCTTCATCCAAGAGACTTTGGGTGCTTTTTACAGTCATGAATTTAGTGTTGATATATAAATGTGAGACAGTTCTAGGAGCCTCATTTTGTGCTATTTGGGAAAACTGTGGAATGAAGCCTTTAAAACTTTAGGCATCTAATGGAAAGCTAGAACTTTGTGGTATTCCTGTTCTGTTTGTATAGTAGTCTTTTTTTATGTACTGTTTTGTGAGATACTCTAAACACCAGTTCTTTTACAGTAAGTAAAAGTCTGAAGGCTTGCTTGCAGATTGCTGATCCACGATTTTGTTAGTGAATGCCTGTAGTTTAGTAACTTTGCAATCTCCTTGCTTTCTTTGTTCTGAAGTGTTTTTGTGTTGGCTTTACCATTTGGCATTGAACGGCAGTATAGTTCGCTGACAAAATGCAGGGAGCTGTTTCAGACTTGCTGGGTCTTGTTGTGTTCTGATTTCAGATATTTTGCTCTTTTTTTAAGCTTCAAGTATTGGCATTGTCAACATTGATTTGATCTTGCTTCTCTTTTCCTGAAATTACAGGAAAAGTAATGTTTGCTCTTATTTTGTGGGTGAGAGGTTGCTGGGGCTTTAAACGAGCATCTTTAGGGTATGATGTTTCAAGGCTCCAATCCCTCTGCTTTTTCTGCTGTTTGCCACTTCCCCTATTTGTTTTTAGTACGAGAACCCTCTTTCATCAAACATCTTATGAATCATTGCTTTCCACTCGTATTGGCCAGAGGCACTGTCATAGTAGCAATGATGATTTGTCATACCTTGTACAGGGTGATTTGTTTTGGAAAGCTAAGTAGGTAGATCTATTACAATGCACAGAACTGTATAAACTACTACAAATGCCTCTGCTGCTGGGATAATATGCTGCTGTGCAATTCGGTTCTTATGCAAAATAAACTAAGACAGTGACTGACCTGAAACATCACGTAAAGAGGCAGGATGTTCTTAAAAATTCTTTCAGTGATAGCAAAAAAGGAGATAGTTTTGAAGTTACAGACTGGAGATCTGTAGAGATCTGAATCTCTTTCTGATTCCTAGAGGTTAGTAATCCTGCATACGGACAATAAAAATGCTGTTTGTGCAAGTTATCAGAACAAGTCGTAGGTTCTTGTTTTTCTTTCTCTTTTTAGTCAGGAGTGGAAACCAGTGTGTTTTTATTCCTGCAAATAGTCCCATGAGGTTAGAGTTCAGACATGTTAGAAAGGGAAAACTTTGGTGGGGAGCACATTTGCTGTGACTGTGTTACCAGTGAAGACTCCTTTCACACTTCAAAAGTGACTTGCTTGGAGACCTGAGGGTAAGTGTCTAGTTTCTTGAAAGCTTGGGGTCAGTTTTTGGGTTTGAGCTTGAGGGGTGATGAACCAGTCCCAGCAGTCCAGGTTGTGCCCAGGTGGGTATTTAAAAAAAAAGAAAAAAGTATTCGAACCAGGTGGAGTCTCTGGCTCATACTTTTTTGTCATCACAGATACTGAATGGATCTGTGAGGCGGTGTGTCAAACTGGTGCAAAGAGCACTTCCTCCCTCTTTCTTTCCTCCAGACTGAGACTGGTACAGATAGGGAAGGTGTTCGCAGACTTTTCCCCCTGCCCTTCCCTGAACTTTTAACATTCAAAGAAGTTGTGCATGTTTAACCTCTTTAAGGGGGGGGAAAAAAAGCTTGAAAAGGCTTGTCTGCCACTTTAATCTGGAGATAGAGACCTATCTGGATGGACTTAATACAGAAGGTTAGTATGTCTGTTTGGCGCTTGATCCTAAAGTTCAATTCCAGCCATACAAAGGATATTTCTGTATACTCAGCAAGGAGTCCCTTTAGGGCTGGGAAAATGTATGTGGTAGGCACCTGTACATATTTTGCTTATTTTGTCTACTGTGTTAAGCCATAAAATATAAAAGGAAGATTTGAAACATGATCAGCAGGGTATCCTCATTTCTGGCTACTTGGGAAGATTTCTTCATCAAGCACCATCTGGACCTGAGGCAGTGTCTGTGTAAAATCCCTTTGTGCTACAGTGGAACATGACTAAAGGCCTGATCCAGAATATGTAGTGACAGGCAAGGGATGGGGTTAATAGTACCTGATGTCTCGCTTGTCTTACCTATCAGCAGCTAACATGAAAACTTTGATGTCCTTAATTCATGTCTTATAGAACATAACGCTTAAACCCTTTTGATGAGCTTTAGAGCTCAAGTTGTTGAATCAAACTTGTCTGTACAATTAATTCTTGTCCTGGAAAGATATCAAAACACTGTAGTTCTTAAAACTGCAACTTTTAAGAACTTTAAGAGTTGTGGTCTTAAAACATATGCTAGAAGGAAGCTGTTACTTGATGTTGTTTTGTTGTCATAGAAGAGAAGTGGCTAACCATCCTTTTGAAAGTAGTGACTACTGTTGATGCAGTAGGCTGAAAAACGTTTGCATGGTTCACTCCCTTTACACTGATAGGGTGTCACAAGTGCTTTCTGTTTACTTTCCTCACGATGTTCTTTTTTCTGTCAAATATCTGAGCCTCTTGGTACACTTCCTGTATTTCTTTTTGCAGTCTGTTTGTTGACTAGGAGTGAGTGGTATAAAGCCTACTTCTCATTTTTCATCTGTCATCTATTTCCAAATGATCCTTTTTTCACAGTGTTTCTCTTCCGTCATTAATTAAACTTTTCACAGGCAGACAAACAGCCTTTCATAATACTATGTTGCTATTATTTTCACACACAGAAAGGAAGTAAGGTGCCTTGGATAGTCTGATTTCATGTAATAAGGAGGATGACAGCTGTCATACTGTCCAGTGAAAATAACGAAGTATTGAATGGATCAGATTTTTTTTAAAATGTTTTTCTTGCAGGAAGCAAAACCTTCAGCTGAGGACTTGGGAGATAAGAAAGAAGGGGAATACATTAAACTCAAAGTCATTGGGCAGGTGAGTTTTTACATAACTACTTGTTGACATTTGGTGGAGGTGTGAGTTTTTGTTTTGTAGAAATGAACAAATGAAAGTTAATACTTTCAGTTCTTCAATGTGGATCCTCCCCTGACATAAACTACTTACCAATTGCCAGTAATGTGTGTTAGTATACTCTCTGGTGAGGTTTTTTTTAAAAGCTTGAGTAATTTATCCTTATGACTCAGGATTTGGTCAGTGTGATCACCATCCTACGACTAGGGGACCTGATGCATTGAGGGATTAATTTATCCAAGGATATGAATGAAATATGTGGCAACATCAATAAATTTAGGTCTTCAGAGTTCATGTAGTACACTAAGCATGAGGTCAACTTTTTTGGACAGGGATAGGAAGAGGATTCTGTTAGCTGGCATGTTGGTAGATGTGAATGGTGGATCATAAGTTGTGTTGGAATTCAAGTTGTGTTGGAATGTGAATGTCGAGATCCTTCTTGAACGGAAGTCCTTCTGTGCAAAGAACCCCTAGCCCGTATGACTTAACGCAGTATTGTTCGTAGGCGTATTAGCGCAATTGCTGTGCTGTTAACTGGAGACGGATGACTTAAAGTAGGACTAACACAAACTAGCTTACCTCTTGCTGGTTTAATTGGCAATGATGAGAACACATTCAAAAGCTAAATGTGTCCCACATGCTTTTTGCGCAGGACCTCTTGCAGTGTGTTTTATCTGAAGCCATTTTGACAGTTGTAGTTACTTGTATCTTATGGCTGGTAGGAAGGACTACAGAACAATGAGACCTAAGATTTCTCCTTGGGTTAATGTTGTGTTGCCAAGTCTGCCTGTATCCTAACTTCTAGATAATTACTCTCATTGAACGAGGTTTTGTATATATTTTGAAGTGCAAGCTTTAACTTGTCTCTTTTGGAACCTTAGAGCAGAAGTCCCCTGCATATGTATATTTGTATTTCATAAGTACATCAGCTGGGTAAAGATGGAAGCACAGACTGAACCATGTATGGTTTTTAGGACTTTTAAATCCAAAACCTCCATAGTGAGCCCAAGGCTATACTATGCCATCTGTTTTAAAACAGAGCTTCCTGTGGAAGTGCATGATGAATTTAGCAACTGATAAATTGTCCTGGAGGTTCATGTTATGATACATCAAGGTATGCACAGTGATAGTTAAACAGCATTCCATATTAGTTTTACATAAGTTTTTCTTAATGGAAGCCTTAAAATCAGCATAGATAAAGTAAGCAGTTACTACAGAGAGTAACATTTTTCTTTTCTGTTCTTAGGACAGCAGTGAAATTCACTTCAAAGTGAAAATGACAACACACCTCAAGAAACTCAAAGAATCATACTGTCAAAGACAGGTTTGTGAAACAGTGACACTCTCTCTTTAAAAAAGAAAATAAAAAAGCCAAACACTTTAGCTTTACTTTTCTTACTGTTCTTTCAAATACAGACGTTTGTTGAGACAGTCAAGCTTCTATCTAGTTACCAGCAGGACAGATACCTGACAGTACAAATATAATGGATCTCCTAATTTCTTTTGACAAGTAAAAATATTTCAATTTAAGACAGTTGTGAATTTTGTAGTAAGCTGAAAATATATAGTGGCTGCTCAGAAGACATAGATGTTACCTTTTAAAATGCCCAGGCATGTATTTATAGTTACTGTAAAATCACCTGTCTCCAAGTGAAATTTCCTTAAAGCTGTAAAATACTGCAGCTTAGGATGAGAGCAGCCTTAGGCATTGTTACAGCCATTAATATGGTAATTGATTAACACTAGCTATTATGCCCTAAGTTAAGAAATCTGCAACATTAATTGTGGATGTAGGTAAATAGTAACTACTGTTACAGAACAAAAATATATCTTCACTTCCAGATTCTGTGGCAGATATTGTGGATTCACTGCTGCTATTTCCAGAAGCTCTGGCCTAGTTTACCCCCAGCTTTGGGGATAGATGCCTTGTGTGGCCTTTTCCTGAGTAACTGTGTTGTAGTTCACTTTAGGAGATAAAATAATAAGAAATAATACTTTGGTTTTTTTCTTAATACCTTGAGACAAGTTGAACTTGTCAGTTGAAGTGTTCTTTTTTGCTATCCTTCTGGAGTAGGAGGAAAGAAAAGATCAAACACCATATGTTTGTAGCCAAATCCAAATGATAAAATTGTGGTTCATTTGAAAAACTTGAAATTTTAAAATAAGATCTTGGAAATAATTCATGCAGCAGTCTTAGTGACTGATGAAAATGCACGTTTGTGGAATTCTTTTTTTAAGAAGGAAATAATTGTTTGAATGAACACAGCTATATCTATCTCCAGGGCTGAATTCTGGAGAGTCCGTGATTTCCTTCATCAGCAGTTAATACCATTTTTGGTGTCAAGCAGCCTTTCTCTGGTAAAGGGACCGTGAACATTTCTTCCAAGTTGGCCAGAGGGATTGTTGGAACAGCATGAAGAGCTGTTCTTTCCTGTGAATTTTTCTGCCTAGTTATTTGCAAGCAATATTTCTGATATCTAATTGATGCACAAAACAGGTCATATTTCAATTGTGTTTGTTTTGCTCATAACTTGAAAGAGAAGAAAAAGATGAGGTAAAGTACAATACTCTGCTGTAACGCAGGCAGACTGTACGATAGACATACTGCAATTTAACTCTATTTACCATTGGGATGCTCCCTTCCCCTGTTTGAATGGTGTTCCTTTTTCTCCTCCTCAGCTCTGCTCTTTCTTGTCCCCAGTGTAGAGCTTTTGCAGAACTGATAATGGCAAAGGTTGCTATTCCTTCCTGTGGTGATGTAAGATTGAGAAAGCAAGGGTGGGAGTTCATGAAGGAAACATCATGTTCCTCCTGTTTTAGGATCTTTAGTAAGGCTGATAATGCACTTCAGAAAAAGCCAAGACTTTCATGTGTAATGTTGTCTTGGAAGGGAGGGTGTAGTCAGTACTTTATTTATAAATTAAAAAAAGGGCAAGAAAAAAAAAAGCTAAGGAAAATTCCCAGTTGTTGAGCTAGAACTCCAGTGAGATTTTGGAATAAACACGCATTTCAGCACTATCATGCTCCTCGAGTCGCTTCTTTGTAGTCTACATCATTGCAACAGAATAACTGAGCTCCCTACGTAACAGGAACTAACACTTTCTTTTTTGACTTTCACATGTGTTGTTTTTATTAAAAATGTTTTTCTTGTAAATCCGTACAAGTTTCAGTAAAGTTTTTTCTTGTACATCTGTTTCTTTTTTTTAGGGTGTTCCAATGAATTCACTCAGGTTCCTCTTCGAGGGTCAGAGAATTACTGATAATCATACCCCCAAGGAGGTGAGTTTCTTTCTAGAAAAAGTGTTACATAGTTCGCTGGAGAAACTAAATACCAAACTGGTTAGTTTCTGGGTTCTGCTAGACTGTTAACCGGAATGAAGGTGTTTCTTTAAATACAGCCAATTTTTTTGAGTGTATTTAGTCAAACATAGCCTGACTGTATTTGTCTAACTGCTGTCCAGTGAGTTTCACCAATTGTTATGACAGAGCAGGAAGAAACACTGTTGTAGTAATGACCTTCTGAAAAATCAGACAAACTTGTGTACTGTGAAATTGAACAAGTTACCCTCTTTGAGAGAACAGTTGTAAACAGGCTTTGAGTTGCAAGCTGTAGGACTTAGCTGTATTGTGAGCTAGTAGTGTGCTATATATAATTCACATGGCTGCACAGCTGGTGCATTCACTATGATGTTGGTTATGTTCCTGTGCATCTGTTGCCCAAGAAGGGATTTAGAGAAGGGTAAAGCTAACAGCTTCCAGGCTGATGCGTACTGCTCCACAAGCGGATTTAGACTTCACTGATAAGGCTTTTGCTTTAACTGAGATGTATAAGACTGAAGGAAAAGGACTAAAAATCATGAGTGTTGGCTAGTGAGATGGTGACTGAAATTTTTTTCACCCCTTTGATGAATTATGATGGGACAGAGGAACAAACCATTGTATAACTTGTCTAGGACCTGCTCTGAATTCAGTGCACCAAATTTATAACAATTATATGCTGTTTTTCTCTGTTCTCACAGCTGGGGATGGAGGAGGAAGATGTGATTGAAGTTTATCAGGAACAGACGGGGGGTCACTCAACAGTTTAGATCCTTCTGTTTGTTTTCTTCCCCCTTAATCCTTTTTTATTTTTAAATAATAGTTCTTTTGTAATGTGGTGTTCAACACTGAATTGAAACTGGCACCCCATCTCTGGGAGTTTATTTTCAAGCGTCTGGTATTTTGAATTCTCGTGCTCATTATACACTATTGTTTCTGTTTTCATTGTGCTGAACTTTTGTGATCCAGCTGCAGCCTTGCTCCCCTTTTCCCTTCTGCCCTCCCCTTTAGAAATACACGTACACACATGCATTTATATGTTCACTAGGTTCGTGCATTTCAGGCACGAAGGCTGTAAGATCTGCCAGGTGGGCGAGTGTTCTTAATGACTTCCATATCTGCCCTGAAGTTTTGATGTGTGACTGTTTCACTCCTGGACTATAACTTTCAGTGCGAGATGAAGTTTTTCAGAGAACTAAACTGTGGAGAAATTGTATCGATAACTCGGAGCTATTTTGCTTAAATTGTGCTGATGGCCCAATGAAGATTACCAAGTTGGAAATGGAAAAGCTAGAACTGTTGTCATCTGTACTTTGCTCCAGAGATGGCTTTGCTGAAGACATAAAATTGAAAACCCTAATGATTCTTAAATCTTGCCAGAAGAGCCCAGAAGCATTTTAACTTCATATAGCAATTAGTACACGCAGGTATTCATGCAAGAATGTTCACAGCAGACAACTGGTGTTACTTTGACACTCTTGTTTGTACCTTTTGGCCTGGGACGTGGGTTTTGAATGGACATTGTCTGTACCAGCTTCATTTAAAATAAACAAGAAAAACAATTTTATAAACAACTTGCATTTTCTTTTCAAATGTTTGGAAATGAGCAAAACCATAAAGTTATAATTAGGGCATGCTTTTCCAGTAACTATATGTTGAAGCCAAAAAAACAAAAGTGCTCTGTAAATATACCTCATTTAAAAAAAAAAAAAATTACTTTTTTCTACTTGCCCTAGTAAAATACTTGATCTGCTTGGTTTGCAGGTGACTATTTGAGACTACTAGCTGTTTCGTTTCTTGTTAGAGAATATTCACATACAGTTAGAGCTTCACTTCATGCACAAAAGGTAAACTGAAAATGCAACGTGGAAAGAGATACGAAGATGGTTTTTAATGTCTACATTTCATATGATCGTGGTACCATTAAATAGTCTCTCTATGATGGATGACATGAAAGTGTCATGGTAGTTCCTCAGGCATCATTATGAGGGTCCACTTCATGTTCTAGCTATTTGCAGGTTTTAAATGGTCAATTTGAGAACATGTTACTGGATATGAAAGCTCAGATGGGAGGTTATGGGCAGGGTAGTGTGGAGAGGAGGTTTTGGCACTGTCCCTGCTTCAGCCTTTCTGCAGATAAATAGGACTCGTTTCTGATTTGGTTTGGTAAATCAAGTTAACTATAAATGCCAACTTCATTTAAAGACACGTTTTAGAGCTGGCATACTTAGAAGAAATTACAGATTTTGAATGATTAGTTTTTATGGCACTTGCTGTAAAGCTAGAAATGCATTTTCTTTCATGCTTGTGGTTTGTGTCCTGTTTCTGATTTAGTAATACTTTTGTACACATAGTTGCGCTAAGCAATTTTTTAAAGATTAAAATTTTTGTTTACAAAATGTCAGAATATGGGGTTTTCTTGAAGTATTTTATGTAATCCAATTCTATGGGGGAAGAGGGGTTGCTACTGTGATGTAGAACAACATGGCTTCTTTGCACTTATCTTCGATTGCTCCAGTACTAAATATATCTGCTTCAGAATACCGGAAATAAACAGCTTTGTGATTATTATCAGATCATCTTCTATTTTAAATTTGTATACCGCTCTTGTTAGTAGGCAAATTCCCATTATCCTTCTTCTGCAAATTAAGAACTGAGCTGCAGGGGATGGTAGTTTACTCGGGTCACTCTGGAAGCTGAAAGTGGAACTGAGAACAGAATCCAGATCCCTTGGGTTTCATGCTAGTACTCTAGTTGCTGCACCAACTTTCTTTGCTTCTTCCTGTGCACTCTCCTCTTCCAAATCTGTTTTATACACTCATTTATATCAGCTTTCTAGTTGAAGCACTGCATTTAGTTCTCCTGAGACTATGGAGGAGGGTTTCCTGCAGAATGCAGCTTCAGTAGGATGAAGCTCAAGGCGAAGATTTCTTTCTATTGTGTAACCTTGTCCAAAAATACATCTCTTTATAGAGTGGATATGGTACCAAAGTGACAAACTGATTTGACCTCTTTCTCAGACTCATTGTGAAGCCTCAGAGAGCTAGTGCCTCAATGGAGCTGCTGGTCTAAAGCCATGTCTGTACTGTTACAACTTGATGGAACAGTAATAACAGGAAAACAGTACTCTGCCTCAAAGATTAGTATTGAGAGCTTCATGTAAAATGAGAGATACACATGCTACACAGATGCACTAGTACCCTTTTTAAGGAAGTTTATTCTTGGAAGCTGTACATTGAAATAAAACCTGAATGTTGAAGTCAAGGAATAGACAGACTTGAATTTTCTTCATTTCTCTGGAAGAGAAATCAATGTCTTTAAAAGAATTTCTTTCTGAAAAGATGGTCTGGAGTGGAATTTCTAAACTACTCATAGCTTTGAAGCATATGACTGGATGTCAGATTGGCCTTCATATGTTGGAGAAAAACAGAGAAAAGAATCTTTTTTCTTCCTGCAATTTGTCTTTGTTTACATGCTTACCTGTGTATTAGAAGAACTGAGTTCAGCTGTTGATGGCTGGTTTTGTTAAGTGTTTAAAAAAAAAGTGGTGGTGGGAGAATGAAACCATCTTCACTGAGTCAGTTATGCAGTGGAAGGTGGAAGCTAATCCTTGCTTTATTTCTAGTTGTGAAATTAATATGTTGAATATTCACTATGGTGGCGTATAAAAGCTGTATTGATAAGCGCTTTACAAAATTATCAGTCTCAATAGATTTTCTTAAAGCTGGTGTGTTTAAAGGATTTGTGTATTATCTACATGATCAACAATTCGACAAAATGAGGGGGTTTTTTTTGAAGTTAAATGTGTAAATGTTGGCAGGATTTGGACTTCAGTTAGGATGTCAGATAATGCTAAAACTTGAAGTCTGCCACAAATTTTGACTAGCAGTCTATTGTTTTAGAAGTACTACAACTGTATACTAGTTTTTAACTTTTCCTAATTTAAGTGGAAATTATTTTTAAGAATACAATACTAAAATATCTGTGCTGACCTGTGCATCTTCTTTATGCACTTTTGAATTATTGCTGTTCAGGTAAATTTTTTTAAATGAGAAGATTAGCTTCTGAGGCACCATACAGAGAACTGTAGGAATTGTGCAAGTTGGAAGTAGTGTAAACTGGTTTTGTTTTGCTTTTAGAACCAGTACTTAATGCATATTTAATTTAATGAAGTTCAGCTTTAATTTAGAGACTGCAAAAAATTGATTACTCTTCTCCACAGGAGACTCTTTACAGGAACTGCAATACAAGTTGAATCTACAAATGTTACACTTTCTTATGTTAGATAATACTAGAGAAGCAGAAAATAAGATAAACCTGATTTACAAGGAAGAAAAGTTCTTATCTTGCTATAGTTTCTCTGTTGTCATCTTATTGTTGATACTGAAATCTAGCCTTTTCTTAAACAGTAGTATGTTTATTGCAATTTATTGGTTTGGATGATTCCTCCAAGAGTAAGCATTGAGGTCTTCATACCTTTTGTAAACTGACAGTTCCATTGTTTTTGTTCTTAACACAAAATGGACCACAGAATCTGGGATGAAGCAGCAAAGGATAAACTAAATGTGTTCTGTGGCACCTCAAGAGGTCTGTCAGGATTCATTTCTACTGGCTGATAAAACACGAATGCTTTTACTTGCTATCAATGGGATGTATACACAGACTACTGCTGCAGTCTGGGAAAATAATTTGTGAATGAGAGCAGCACCTATCCCAAAAAGGAACATTGTTCCTCTTTTGAATCAGGTTGGAACTTTGAATTAGACTGGAACTGAAAGAGCTCACTACAATGACCCATTCCTGGCACCAAGCATTTATTTATTCTTTTGTATGGTTTTCAGGCAGCTGAAAATAAGAAAACAGCCATGGACGAGGAACATCCTGAGTGTGTTCTAGTCCAGTAGCATCTATTAGTAGTGCTTGTTGGAACTGCAGATGTTGTCCCAGGTCTGCTCTTTGCCTGCAAACAATGTTAATAAAGTGGATTGCAGACACAGGACAGAATTCCTCCTTGGGTTAGAAAGCTGGTGCTTTGGCTTGAATCCTGCACACTCAGCTTGTTGCTGGTTCACTGACAATTTCTTTGACTTTGCCACAGTGCATACAGTGCCTTCTGAGGCACTGAGCCTGGACAGGAGATTGGACTTCCCCCAGGAGTTGGCTTTGAGCAAGGTTTGGAATGGGCTGGGGAAGAAAATGTCGGCTTATGCTAATACCTTTTTGTGGACCAGTATGTTCTGCTGTCACAACAGTATGAATAGAGCAAGCAGGAGGTAGTTATTCCTGCTCAGCTGTAGTTCCCATGTATCTTGTTATGCCTGGTACCGCTTTGTGCCTGACAAATTGATCTAGGCTTCCCTTAAGAAGGCCTGTTATGCTATTTGCAGTGTTTTAATATGTGGTATGCAGACTCCCAGTTCCTGTGTTCTGAGGTGCTGGTAGGAATAAGTTCTGGAAGCACATTGCTGGAGTCTGCTCCGATGGACTGCGTAAAGGTAATCATAGTTTCAGATGTGCAGGGCAATCTAGTTGTGCTTCTAGTAGTGTAAATGGGTGTTATAAACTCTGAAACAGTGAAAGAATACAGATAAAGATATATGTGAATTGCTGGTGGAATTTGGGGGGAAACATTGGAAAACTGGTTAAATAGCAAAAGAATTGCATTGTATTTTGGAGTTCGAATTGAAGGCAGCTTAACTAACTCCTGAGGTACCGATGCTGCTCTTCAATGTTAATTACGCTGATAGAACTCCTGACTACAGAAGTATTTTTATATTGTCTGGCGCTAGGTATAAAGATTTATTGTTATTACTGAGGAAAAAAAATAACTTCGCTCTTTGATGAATATCTACGTACCTGATTAAAAGCTGTGTTTCTGTTTTGGCTTCCTCTAGAGCGAGTCTAACATCTTCCTCTTTCTTCATCTGCTCCTCAGCCTCACATCTTGTCTTCTCCCAGTTTCTTCTTTCATACTCCAGGCATTTTTCTGCCATCTCCACCAGCTGCTGGTGTTCCTCCTGTAACCACATTGCTCCTTCTTTCTGTCTGCGTTTTTCTGCCTTTTAGAAACAGATCACCATATACTCATATACTTCCTATTTAGGAAATGTTTTTTTCCATCAATTACAAATAGAAAGAAAATACTGTTATAATACTGACTTTACAAGTATTTAATATTGTTTCAAACACATGAGTTTGTCTTAAAATGTAATTGGATTTTTTTTTTTTAAATCTGCTTGGCATTTAGGTTTTCAAGCCTTCCTCTGCAACTATTTGTTAGAAGTAGAATTTCTCTTTTTAAACTGTGTAGCTACTGGAACTTGGGCTTTCAGAGAAAATATATAACAAAAACATCAAGATATGAACAGATGTAGCATGAATGTTATTATTGCTAGCATTTTGCACAGTCGCATCGTAGCTAGGCTGTGGAATTTCTCTTCTTCAGGCTGCAGGGACTGTGGAAGAGAAGACTATTGTTACCATATCTATTTAATAGAGGAGGAGCAGCTGAGGTACTGCAAGTTTGGGACTTAGTGTCACAGGACTTCCATGGCAGACACACAGGCTAAGTCTATGTCTTTACCGGAAA